CATATTTTGGTTTAGAAAATATGAACAGCACAGCAAAGATGTCAATTTGTTATCACCCAATGGCTGGACTATTGATGCCTGTTTTTCCTCAGGTAGCAAGAGACTTGAGACCCTGAATAAGCCATTACAAGGCTGTATGGTGAGCAAGGATGCAGTAGAGCTATCGGCTGATGTATTTAATATCTTGTTCTGGCCTATTTCTGATACATGGGTTTATCCGTCTGGGTTCAGGGAGTTCACTCATGTAATTGTAGAGGTTGGTGTCTGAAACCCGTAGGGGAAGCTGGCTGGCTGCAAAGTCTCAGGCAGCAGTGAATGTTGTAGTCTCGAGGGAGAATTTTTTCTTCCTCAGGGAAACCTGTTTTACTCTTAAGATCTTTCAACTGATTGGACGAGGGTAATCTCCCAACTATAAACCCAACTATTTTATTGAGGGTAATCTCTTTTACCTCGAGTCAACTGATTGTAGATATTAACCATAACTACAAAATACCTTCACAGCAACACTGACATTAGCATTTCATCAAATAGTTGGGCACAATAGCTTAGCCAAGTTGGCACATAAAACTAACCATCACAGTGGACAAAATTAGAACTGCCCCAACTTGTCCCTAGAGGATCGTACAAGGCACAGTAGTGGATCTGGATGTATCCTAGTAAATATGGGAGCAGAATTACCCTGATAAAATTCTGTTTTCATTCTAAAGAGAAGCAGCCATAGCCCAGTTGACCTGCTCATTAAATCCAAAGTGTTAAGTGAGTGAAAAGCTGGGAAATTCCCCTATAAGGGCATTGCTTCTTTTTTTCTTCCAGGGGAGAGGTGTTGGAATAACTCCTCCCCATTCTCTTCAACCTCTCCTTCCTCTCCCATGGGAAGGGGGTCCTGATCTGATTCTTGTTGGAAGCAGCAATCTACTATGGTCCCTGAGCAGCTTTACGTGTTCTTCTGCATATGCCACGAATGCAAGACTGTGAGTGCTCTTTCTGCAGGCCATTTCCAAGTTTGCATTTTCAACAGTAACCTTGAGAGAGAAGGTCATATCTCTCTTTGGACAAAGAACAGGCTTGCCTCCACCTGCTATAAAAGCAGTGAACCACCTAGTTCAGATAGTAGAGACTTTCTCCCTTGTAACACAACTCTGCATGTTCTGGGTCCATCTAGGGCCACATATATTGTTCCTATGGGACCTAATGAGAGGAAATAGGAAACCGGTGTGACCATCAAACTAACACCAGGGCTACTGGATTTGCTGTGAGTAACAAAGTCGTTTGTCTCTGACTCAGAAGTCTTGTGTCTTCTGCTCACATCTATAAAACAGTTACAAGCTCCTTGTTGGCTTGCAAGTAGGCTAAAATCTCAGTCCCTTCACAATTATTGACAGAGGCCTTGATTCCCTGCAGGTGACAATATTTGTTCTATACTCCCAGCTTCACTGTCCCCTCCATGCAAGCAAACTAGCTGAGTGGGATCTGTCCTAGAGACCAAACTCTCCCTACTTGAAGATCTCACTGGGGAAGGAAATAGTAAAAACTGTTTTTGCTTTCCACTCTAGGCTCTTCCAGAACCGCAGCATGCATGGATGTCAAGTGATAAGCTAGGATCTGGGGATGCTATAGTGAAAAAAAAAAAAGGCCCTGCTCTCTTAGAGCTTATAGTTTAATGGGGGTGTGAGTAGGGGTTGCACAGATACTAAGATAATTACAGTATGCTGAAGAAGACGACTGCTTGCTGGCCGTCTGGTCTCTTCTAACAATTTTTCTTTCTAGTAACTCTCTAAAGTCGCATTTTAATCATCTTGTTTGGATTTAGATGATTCCTAAGTTTGTAACAGCAACATATTTACAAACTAGCTCTTGGGAAGAGTTATTTCTACAAGGTTAAGCTCATCATTATATGTTGATTTGTACCAAGCTCATTCACAGAGAGTGACATCTCTTGACAATTTTGGAGCCATTTATGTTTTAACATTACCTTATATAGTAATCCAGTGAAACAGAGAGAATGAAGTATTAAGATTTTAAGTGATAATGTGAATATTTAAATTACATGAAAATAAGTAATGCATACACTAGATCTTTAAGTTCAATTGTAAATTCTACTTTCATCATATTTTTTAGCAAATACACTCAAAATGAAGTGGAAACTCTGGAATCCATGGATCAGCCTATCAGTCTATCCACTCATGAAATGTTGCCAGTCTGCCAGTCACTGTGGCAGGCACTAGGGATATAGTGTAACTGAGAATTGACTTTTCAAATTATCTAGTTTCTGGCCAGGTGTGGTAGCTCACACCTGTAATCCCAGCACTTTGAAAGGCTAAGGGGGGGTAGATCACTTGAGGTCAGGAGTTCGAGACCAGCTTGGCCAACATGGGGAAACCTCGTCTCTACTAAAAAATAAATAAATAAATTCAAATACTCTTAAAGGGAGAAATGTAGTTCAATCACACAAATAAACAGAATAACTAAATTTTGCAGAGGTTGCTTGGTACTTACTGCCTAGTTGCTAATGCAGTAGCCCTTAAGATTATACCAGTCTTCAAGACGGTAAGCTTTCTTTTTGATAGCTTAAATGCAGAAACAAACCTCTGTATGCTCATGTAGGAACTGATAACCCCAAAGTAGCAGATATCCAAACACTGTTTGTATTTTTGCCATGATCTATATACATTTCTGAAGTTAAATTTGTAACAGAAAGCATAATTCAATTTCGAAGCATTTACTGAGTTTCTATTATGCACGAAGACTTATGGTAGATTCTGTGGGGGATATAAGACAAGATCCATGCCCTTGAAGAATTCAAAGACAAGTGAGGGCATAAATTATGAATTTATGAGTCTGCTTGCCAAGCAAGGGTCTCCCTTGTCAACATAATGACTTTTTTATGGCTTTTTGTGACGTTTTCATCAATAGCCTATTGGCTAAATTGTTTTGATATTAACTCAAATCATCAGTTAAGATATCCACATTGAAGGAAATGAACAAAAGGCTAAAAGGGAACAGTGATGAAGGAATGGGAGAGAAACTAACACCTCTGCTGGGCACTTCATTATCTAATACATTCACAAAACAATACAGGAATTTTGTCGTCATCTTCCTCTTCCTCCTCCTCCTCTTCCTCTTGCTCTTCCTCCTCCTCCTCTTCCTCTTCCTCCTCCTTTTCCTCCTCCTCTTCTTCTTCCTTTTTCTCCTCCTCCTGTTCCTCCTCGTCTTCTCTTTCTAGCAGGTGATGACATTAGAGCTCAAAAATGTTAGAACATTTCCTTAAAATCTGGCAGAAAGTGGCAGAGCTTGGATTTTAGGTCCATTCAGCACAAAGTCCAAGCTTTTTCTCTTACAATGTACTTAACAATCATCCAAAAATGTATGTGTGTGTATATTTGTGTGTTTTCAGAAGTGAGTAAGCAAATAAGCAAGTGAGAACTTAGAAAGCAGTGGGTGAGTTTTCTGTCACTGGGCGTCTAAAAATAAGCTGAATAATCACTGGCAGAGATAAAGAGGGGTTTAAAACATTGAGTAGGGGTTAGATCGTGATATCAAAATCCCTTTCAACACTGGGATTCCACTTCTCTGATAACAGGAGTAGAATTTGCATGTATTTCCCTCCTCATGGAAGTCTTTGCAACATATGCTGTACATTGAATGGAGAGAAGCATCTGCGTAGATAATGGGAAAAGCAAGGTCCACGCCTTACCACTCCATAGGTTAACAACCTGCGCAGTAATTCACCTGGCTGAAGATTTAACTTGTGATACGTGTGTGTTTCCCATTTATTTGTTCTACAGAGGGAAATTTCTGCAAGTTATATGTCAGCTTTGGAGAAAACCAGTCTCCTTTTAGCTGCAAAGAAGTTCCTTCCTCCAGGGGAAGAGGCAATCAAGTTTCAGACTTGGTTATGGACAGAATGTTTGTGTGTCCCCAAATTCATATGTCGAAGTCCCAACACTAATGTGGTGGTATTAGGAGATGGGAACCTTGGACATGACTAGGTGTAGATGAGATCATGAAGGTTGATGGTCCATGATGTGGCTAATGCCCTTACAAGAAGAATAAGGGAGACCAGAGTTGCCTCTCTCCATCATGTGAGGATACAGTGAGAAGGTAGCCATCTGCAAGCCAGGAAGAGAGCCCTCACCAGTAGTTGAATCTACTGGAAACTTGATCTCAGACTTCCCAGCCTCTAGAACTATAAGAAATAAATATCTGTTGTGTAAACCACCCAATCTATGGTATTTTGTTATAGCAGCCTGTGTTAGTTCATTTGCATTGCCATAAAGGAACACCAGAGACTGGCTAATTTATAAAGAAAAGAGGCTTATTTGGCTTATGGTTCTGCAGGCTGTACACGATTGGCACCAGCATCTGCTCAGCTTCTGGTGAGGCCTCAGGAAACTTTTCCTCGTGGCAGAAAGTGGAGGGGGAGCAGGTCTGTCACATGGTGAGAAAGGAAGCAAGAGAGAGAGGGATGTCTATCTCTTTTTTAAAACCAGATCGCACATGAACTCATTACCACTGGGAGGGCACCAAGTCATTAGTGAGGGATCCACCCTCATGACCCAAACACCTCCCACCAGGCCCCACCTCCAACATTGGGGATCACATTTCAACATGAGATTTGGAGGGGACAAACATCCAAACTATATCACAGCCTACGCTGAGTAAGACAACTCCCTAGAGGCTGTCGCTAGAACCCATCCTTAAGGGTTCGGCTGGTGGTTCCTTTGTTGAAAGAAAGAGATCGTTTGGGATGAGACACTTTGAGTTTCAGGGATTGAGAAGAAGTGTGATTCCTTGAGGATGGAAAGGCAGAAAGGGACGGTGAGGAGAGTGCTGAGGGTTAGAGGGTTAGGGCAACTAGCTCCTTGGCACGTAGGTGTGGCATGGGGCTGGGATCGCTGAGCATTGGGAGCTGTGATCTGGGAGCCTGAGCCAGCAGGCTCCCTGGCTGAGATTAGCTCTGTGGGAGTGCAGGCTCCTCTCCAAGTTCTGAGAACCACGTTTGTTGGGATTCACTCAGGGTGGCTAGCGAAATATTAGGGAAATATTAGGGAAAGTTATAAGACGGTAGTCTCAAACATTTTGGAAGGCTGAAAGGTTTTAATAGAGTGAGCTGAAGGCAGCCAGGTCTAATGTTAGAACTTTAAGTCATAGGGTAAAGATTAGAATAACAAAAGTTAAGAAGTCTGTTTACCCAACATTCCTTTGTCTCTGCTCTAACTGTTTACTCATGTAAGCTTTGTGTTGGATGGTCCTCCCAGGGGAGGTCAAAGGGGAATCACCCATTAATGGTGTTTATTCTGGGCCCTGGAACCAAGACTTTTTATCATTCATAAAACCACTCTTTTAATGATGTTAATTATCTGCAAGTAAGTTGACTTAGAACCTCTGTTATTAAATCTGTACTGAAAAATTGTGAGGAGCAGCAGTCGCCCTCTGAGACTAACAACCTCCCTAGCTCACTGGAATCCACTGTACTCTGGTGTGTGAGAGTGTATTTCATTCTTCTGTTGCTGAATCAGGGTCTGCAGGACAGACCTCCGCAGGTGGTCATCAGTGACTCATGTTCAATAGTATCACTAAATGGCAGGGCGAAATAGTGATGACGTAGACTCACTGGACACCAGACCTCAGCTTGGGACTGGAAAATCAGATGTTCCTGTCTTCCCTTTGAACTGTGTACATCTCTAGGGTTTTTTGTTTGTTTTTGAAACTATTCATAGGAAAGAGGAGACTCAGGAGCTAATCCAGAAGGCAGGGCCTGAGCGGGGTACATTTCAGGAAAAATCAGTTGCTGAGATTTGCATCAGGAAATAGTGGAGCAGTTGATTCCACAGAGCAGCCAGGGTCCCTTCTTTCCCGGGTGGTATAGACCAGCTGAGGCAGATGGTGTCAGCCACTTCGGCCATATCCAGATGCTGTACAGTGGCTGGACAGCCACAGTCTTTGCAGAAAACTCAATACTTTTATTTCAGTTGGTCTCAGAACTTGCAGACTTGGCATCTCAAGAAGAAAAGAAAATTCTAGATGGAAACCTCATTTAAATTCTGAAGAGTAGTTATACTTCGAGACACAGTGTTCAGATGTTGGGAGATTTGTATATTTGGCACTTACAAACAGCGGCAGCCATGACAACAACAACAGGGACACGTAGATCTAAAGGTTTAATGTTTAATGTTTTGTGTTTTGTTGCTACAGAGACTTACAAGGCAAAAACACAAACAAAACCCCCAACCAGCCCTGTGGTACATGTTGTGATTGAGTGATGGATTTTTGTAAGTGACCAGGGAAGTTCTCCTGGAGTCTTAGAGGGAGGGGAATGAGATGGGCTAGGAAGAAACAATGGTGAATAAAGCCCCTGCCTTCAAACACCCTCATTATTTGGACTGCCATCTGGTTTGCTGAGGGATTAAGAGCAAGTGCCAAAGGGTAGGGATGGAGGATGTCATTTTTCCCTTTCAGCTTACTAGTTGCTCTCTTCCTTTGGGGCCGGCACTGAGTTTCATTCACGTCTGACAGATGCTCACCGACCATGAGCAGGGGTCCAGAGAAAGACTCAGGGGCCTCAAGTCTTGGACACACAGATGCTATCTTTGTTTTCCCAGCCCCTTCCTTCAGCTTCCCCTGAGTCTGGGGCAGGCTTTGTTTTCCCTCTTCCTCCAAGTCTCTATTTCAGAGACCTTGTGAATCTGACCATCAGCTCCAGAAGTCCCTCCACATAGGGTGTAATCTTAGAGCTTCACCAGTGAAGGGGCTGATGACTGTTCAGTGAGATCCCACCATCCTTGGGAAATAAGCTATGAAGGTTCTAAGCACACATGGTTTCTTTCTGTTTTGGGCCACCCCTTGCCTTCACCAGGTGACACCAATTTTACTGATTCTTTCTCTGAAGCCATTGCTGACTCTCCTTCCCCTCCCTTCATCTAGGTCTCTCTCACCTCTCCCCTGTGTAACTGTGACAGAGTCATAGCTCCTCTCTCTGCCTTCAGATTTCTTTGGTTCCATCCTGTTTTCTACATAGCTACTCAAGAAATTCCTCCAAAACACACACCTATATTTGTGTCATTTTGTTGCTCCCAAACTTTCCTCAGAATTTTTGTCTATCCACTCCTTCTCCCTGGAGTGCCCCTGCCCTCCCTCCTTCCTGGAAGAGGAGTCATCTTTTTTCACCTTAATAAGGCTTCCTAGGCCCCTCTGGGTGGAGTTCGTTGCTTTTAGTCATTTCCTTATTCGTGCTTCCATTGCATAATAACTGAGATACCTGAAGGCTTACTGTGCTCTCTCCATAGGCTGAGAGCGGGCCAGACATCTCACATACATTGTCTCATTGATCCCCACAAGAGGCTTATGCAGTCTATACTTTCCTTATTTCCATTACAGTTGAGGAAATGAGACAAGCTGCCTAAACATATTTGAAGTTGTGTGTCTGGAGAGTGATGGAGGCAGCATCTGTATCTGACTAGTCCAGCTCCTGAGCCCATGTCTCACCAGGGGTACACTGTTCTGAACCTGTGTATCTCTGTGACAGCACTTATAACATTATGTTATTGCTTATTTACATCTCTCCCTTCCAGTAGACTGAGCTTCTTGAGGGCAGAAATACTAATCACTTAATCACTGAGACTAGCACATAATAGGTGCTCGGTAAACTCCTGAGGGAGAAAGAAGGAAGTGTTACCATGATTATATCAATAAGAACATAGAAATAATTCAGGAAAATGTTCAAATTCCCTAGGTTCAAGACCAGGCCTATGTTACCTATGTTAAGGAAATAATTTAGTCTATGAAAAAGGTTAAATAGTTTTGCTATAAGTAAAAATCTGCTGTCCCTGGAAAGTTTGGGCCAAAGATGGATCAGCACAGAACATTTGTTTTAAAAATTAAATAAGTAATCACGATCATCAGACACTTCTTTCTTTTTTTTTGAGTTGGAGTCTTACTCTATCACCCAGGCTGGAGTGTAGTGGCCCAATCTTGGCTCATTGCAACCTCCGCCTCCTGGGTTCAAGCGATTCTCCTGCCTCAGCCTCCTGAGTACCTGGGATTACAGGGTCACATCACCACCTCCAGCAAATTTTTTATTTTTAGTAGAGATAGGGTTTCACCATTTTGGTCAGGTTGGTCTCAAACTCCTGACCTCAAATGATCTGCCTGCCCTGGCCTCCCAAAGTACTGGGATTACAGGCGTGAGCCACCATGCTCAGTCATGAGACACTTATTTTGTAAAGAATTTATTGAATTCACCCATACATGGTCTATGTGGCTATAGTCTGGATTCCAGGTGAGAACTGATGGAGTATTTATGGAGAAATGGCTGATTCTAGGACAAAGATTCCTAAATGCTCACTGATTCCTTTGAGAGCTGATTAAATCAGTGGATTCGTTCCTTAGAAAATTACACACACCTGCTCTAGGGAATTGACTAATATTTCCAAAGATTTCCTATTCTCCAAGCTCAGGCAACAGCTGGGGTGGAGCCGAGGCTGAGGCTTGGTCAGGGCAGAGCGACTCCTCTATTTCACTTGTTAGATGTCCTAAACCGTTTTGTCCCATGTTATTGATGCATAATTGGTTGTTGTGATAGTTAATTTTGTGTGTCATCCTGACTGGGCCATGGGCGTCTAGACTTTTGGCTAAACATTATTCTGGTTTGTCTGAGAGGATGTTTGTAGATGGGATTAGCATTTAAACTGACAGACTGAGTAACGCACATTGCTCTCCCTAATGGGGCTAGCCGTCATCCAATCAGCTGAAGACCCGAAAAGAACAAAAAGGCCGAGTAAGAGGAAGTTCCTCCTGCCTGACTGCTCTTGCTCGGACATTCTTTTCTGCCTTTTGATTCAGACAAGAACATCGGCTCTTCTTGAGCCTCAATCCTGCTGGTGTTTGGACTGGAGCTTACACCACCTACTCTGTTGATTCTTAGGCCTTCAGACTGGAACTGAAACTATACTTTGACTCTCCTGAATCTCCAGCTGCCTGATTGCAGATCTTGGGGCTTCTCAGCCTCCGTAATCTTATGAACCAATTCCTTATTGTGTGTGTGTGTGTGTGTGTGTGCGCATGTGTGTGTGTGTGTGAGTGTATTTAGTCATGCACTGCATAATGACATTTAGGTCAATGATAGACCGCATATGTGATGGTCGTCCCATAAGATTATAATACTTTACCTTTTCTATATTTAGATACACAGATACTTACCATTGTGTTACAGTTACTTCTAGTATTCAGTACAGTAACATGTTGTACAGGGTTTTTAGCCTAGGAGCAATAGGCTATATCATATAGCCTAGTTGTGTATTTGACTGTATCTTATAAATTTGTGTAAGTATACTTTATGTTTTTCCTTTAACTGAAATGGAGGTCGCTCACCGCTTGCAGAGTCCAATTAACAAGAATGAGGTCTGGTATAAAGAAACTGCTCCACGTTCTATTATAAACATACATGCACATGTGTGTTCATTGCAGCACTATTCCCAATAGCAAAGACATGGAATCAACCTAAATGCCCATCAATAATAGACTGGATAAAGAAATGTCGTACATATACACCATGGAATACTATGAAGTCATAAAAAGGAATGGGATCATGTCCTTTGAAGGGATATGGATAAAGCTACAGGCCACTGTCCTTAGCAAACTAATGCAGGAACAAAAAATCAAATACTGCATGTCTCGTTTATAAGTAGAAGCTAAATGAGAACACATGGACACATAGAGGGGAACAACAGACGCTGGGGCTTATCAGAGAGTGGGGGTGGGAGGAGGGAGAGATCAGAAAGCATAGCTAGTGAATGAATGCTGGGTTTAATACCTGGGTAATGAAACAATCTGTTCAACAAACTCCCAGGATACAAATTTACATATATAACAAACCTGCACATGTACCCCTGAATTTAAAAGTTAAAAAAATTTTGGCGGGGCGCGGCAGCTCACGCCTGTAATCCTTTTGGGAGGCCAAGGCGGGCGGATCACAAGGTCAAGAGATCAACACCATTCTGACCAACATAGTGAAATGCTGTTTCTACTAAAAGATGCAAAAATTAGCGGGCGTGGTGGTGCACACTTGTAGTCCCAGCTACTCAGGACGCTGAGGCAGAAGAATCACTTGAACTGGGAGGTGGAGGTTGCAGTGAGCTGAGATTGCGCCACTGCACTCCAGCCTGGTATCAGATCAAGACTCCATCTCAAAAAAAAAAAAAAAAAAAAAAAAATTCCAATCTATGAACGTGAGATGTCTTTCCATTTATCTGTGTCTTTTAAATTTCCTCCATGAAACTTTTTTCAGTGTGTAGATCTTTCATCTCTTTGGTTAATTACTAAGGTTTTTTTTGTTGCTGCTAGTATAAATGAGATTGTTGTTGGTGTATAACATCACCATTGATTTTTTTGTCTTGATTTTGTAACCTGTAATGTTAATAAATTTGTTTATTAGTTCTAAAAAAAGTGGTTTATTTCAAAGCTAGCTAAGGGGAAGAAGTACAGGCTTCTTGCCTTAAGGGTAGCAGGTGCAGAAAGTAGGAATTATTTTAAAAGAAATTATTTTAAAAGGGGGCTTGGCATGAATGGCGTGCAGGGGAGGAAGCAATTGGATGGAGGTTCGCATAACTTGCTTCAGTACCTCATCTACCAGGCCATTGAGCTGGCGCCTTCATGGGCAGAACCAGGTTTTAAAAGTGCCTGAAACTCTCCAGGTGGGAGAGAATTTTGTAGTGGGCATAGCTAGTCTTGTAAATCGACTGTTGCCTCTCGAGGCATTCTTCTGGTGGGAGAGAGTTCCACTCTGGAGCCTTTAAGCTTATAGTTAGATGAACTTGACCTGTAGGGAATGTCTGGTGATGGGGAGGTCTAAGTAGGAAGTGAGGGGTAGGGAAAAGGAGAAAAAGAAAAGAAAAGAAAAAAATAAGTAATTCTCTTTTTCTTAGATGAATGGGAGTACTTGGTTACATTCCCACAGTGACAGAGCTGCCTACATAACTCATTTCTCAGAGCACAGTCCTGTAGTTAAGCAATGCATCACTGTATCTGTCTATGTCTCCTGTTGGTTCTGTTTCACTGGAGAGCCCTGGCTACTACAATTGTTTTAATGATTCCTCATTTCCAATGCGCTTTCCTGCTTGGCTTTCATTATGGGTGGAGCAGGCTCTGTTGGATTCTAAAATTATATTAGGAAAAGATAAAGAGATAACCACCACAAAATGGCTAATTTTTTGATGGAGGGAGGCTGTTATGTGGATAAAGGATTAGTGTTAATATTCAAGTTAAATTATTAATAAAATCATTGAATTTTTATGGAGCAGTTACTATGTAGTAGGGCTATTCGAAAGAAGCAATGATTTCTTCCCTCGTGTATACGTTTTATTTTTATTTTTAAATTATTATTATTTTTTGAGATGGAGCCTTGCTCTGTCATCAGGCTGTGGTGCAGTGTCGTGATCTTGGCTCACTGTATCCTCTGCCTCCTGGGTTCAAGTGATTCTCCTGCCTCAGCCTCATGAGTAGCTGGAATTACAGGCACCTGCCACCATACCTGGCTAATTTTTCTATGTTTAGTAGAGACAGAGTTTCGCCATGTTGGTCAGGCTGGTCACAAACTCCTGACCTCAAGTGATCTGCCCTCCTCAGCCTCCCAATGTGCTCGGATTACAGGCATGAGCCACCACGCCAGCTGTGTGTGTCTGTTTTAAACAAGGGATAGAGACAATAGGCATCATAAATAAGTCTAACTATATTGTATGTTAGAGAAAAATAAAGCAGGAAAGGAGAGTGAGGAGGGGCTCAGTTTTAAATAGGAAGGTTCTAAAGGGCTGCATTGAGAAGCGTATTAGAAAAATGACCAGTAGGAAAGTATATTAGCTTCCTATTGTTGCTGTGACAAATGACCGCAAAGTTAGTGGCTTAAAACAACACAAATTTATTCTCTTATAATCCTGAAAGTGAAAAGTCCCAAATTGGCCTCCTGGGGCTAAAATTAAGGCGTTGGCAGGGCTGTGTTTCTTTTGGAGGCTCTAGGAGAGAATTCATTTCCATGCCTTTTCCAGCTTCTCTATGCTACAATCCTTGACTTGTGGCCTCTTCCTCCATATTCAAAGCCAGCATTGTCCGGCCAGCTCCTCCTCACACTGTCATTTTTTGGGTTCTTGTTCTTTTGCCTCCTTCTTCCACTTATAAGGACCCTTGTGATGACTTTGGGCCCACTTAGATCTTCCAGGATGTGGAAGACCAAAACTATGCCACTCTAAAATATGACTGTAGGAGACCAGAATATGCTACTCCAAAATATGCCTCTTTAGCATAGGATTATTTTGAGCTAATTATTTTGAGAAACTGTAGACACCAGAGTAACTCTCAAAACAAAGAGAAGTTACCCTTTTGTATGGGAAATGTGTTTTCTAAAGGAAATCCCCATTTGTAAGGGGGCTCCTCTGCACCAGGAAGAGAAGAAATGCTCTGAATCATTAGAGACTTTTCTCAATGGAGAAGGCACTGAGTTAATCCACAGGAAAAACCTCACTCTTATTACTGTGCTTATCCTGACCTCCCCAAAACTGGCTTCCTCCCACCCTTCTTTCTTCATTTCCATTGAAGATGATATTTGAACCTGAACTAAAATCCATTTCCTGGAGATTTACTTACTTTTCCATGGGTATCTTTCTTGTCTACGTAAAGTATACATGTTAATAAACTTCTGTTTGTCTCTTGTTAATTTGTCTTTTGTTACAAGGGTCCAAGCCAATAAAAACTCAGAAATGGTGGAGGGAAATTATTTTTCCTCTCCCGTAAGGATAATCTCATCTCAAGTTTGGCTAATTATGACTACATCAGGTTGTTGGGGCTGCCATAACAGAGTACCACAGACTAGGTAGCTTAAACAACAGACATTTGCTCATAATTCTGGAGGCTTAAAGTCTGAGGGCAATGGATTGGCAGGGCTGCTTTCTTTGGAGGTCCCTCTCCTTGGCTTGTAGATGGCCATCTTCTTCCTGTCTTTACAAGGTTTTCTGTGTATATGTGTTGGTGTCCTCCTCTTCTCTTCTTATAAGGACCCCAGTCATATTGGATGATGCCCTTCCCTAATGACCCCATTTTACCTTTTTGAAGACCTTATCTGCAAATCTAGTCACATTCTAAGGTTCTGGGGGTTAGGACTCCAATATAAGAATTTTGGGAGAAGCGACATCATTGAGCTCATTGTACAACTCAATTGCATTAGGAATTAAGTTCTGCTAACTTACTTCCGTTTTGTCAGGTAAGGTAACATATTTACTGGTTCCGGTGATTAGGACAAACATACCTTTAGGGGGCCATTACTTTGCTTACCACAGAGGGAGCCATGCAGACGTCTAGGGAAGAGGAATAGCTGGAGCAAAGGCCCAGCAGTAGAGGTGTGTTCATTGTACAAACACCAAGGAGACAAGTGAGGCTGGAGCTGGCTGAGCGAGAAGAGCACGGGATAAGAGGAATGAGTTTGCACGGTGTGCAGGCCACCACATGGACTCTGGTTTTTACTCTGAGGGTTTTGAGTTAAGGAACCACATGATCTGACTGTGTGTTCACGGGACCTCCCAGGCTGCTGAGTGGAGCATAGATTAGAGAGGGCCGAGGGTGGCAGCAGGAGACCAGTTGGGAGGTGACTGCAATAATCCGGGAGAGAGAGGGGTTAGCTTGGGCCATGGAGGCAGTGGGGGAGGCCTAAGGCATGGCTGGATTTTGAATGTTTTAGGAAAGTCATTAGGATTTTCTCTTGAATTGCTGTGAGTGAAAGAGAGGAGTTCAGAGTGACTAAGTTGGTTTTTGTCCTGTGTAACTGGAAGAATGGCGTTGACATGTATTGAGGTAGGGAGACCATGGGGAGATAAAAAGCTTCACTTTGGACACATGGGAGATGACTAGTTAGACACCCAGCTTCAATGTGAATGGCTAGCTTTTATGTATTTAAAGTCAATGTTCAAATTTTTTAAATTACATCTCATGATTCTTATTAAAAAAAAAAAGAACAAACACTTTCACTCGTTCCTTGACTTTCAATTAACTCACAGGCACAGATTAAAATTAGTCCCATCTACAAACTTAGCTAATTACATTCCCTTAAATATCTTCAACAACATTTATAAATTAATATGTTTGCTTTTTAGACATTCACTTGCCTGGCAGAGTAAACTACAATATCAATAAGCAAAACCCTCTTAAGCATTTAAATTATTCTTGCATCCAGTAAACATGTAATTATAGTAAATCAAGTTCTCTTAACAATACCACAACTATTTATAAACTTAAAAATTCTCCTATACTCTTCTGCTAAAAATTTATGTAAAAAATGTCATAGTCTCTTAAACATGACACTTCATAGTTTTTGTTTTTAGATTGTCAAGTAAGGGTGTGATCATTGCTGTCCATGGTTAACTTACAAGAATATTTTGAAGACAACACAAAAAGTTGTGCTTTGACAATTAAGCTCTGAAAATTTAAGGTGCTGTTTTCATTCCAGGAGAAAGCTAACCTCTGTTAAGGACACACTTGAATTATTCCCTGAAAAGTTAGGAAGAGTTTTCTTTTTGTTCTCTCTCCCCACCTCCAAAGAGAAGCTGACTCTGAAAAAGAGCAGATAATTTAGGTGGGGAGTAAGTGACTAACGGAGTCCTTCTGTTCCTTATCTTCCAGAGATAGAATATTGACATTGTAATGTTGGGGCTCAGAAAACAATATCCCAGAATGAAATCCTCAGAAGCACAAGTTTTTCTGTGACCTCCTGTCTTCTTGTCCCTTAGTCCCATCTCCCACAAAGGCTAGCCATGGAAACTAGCCTCTTTCCCACGGCAGGCTCCCAGAACCCCCTTTCCCCAAAGGCAGCCAGGAAAACTAAAATGTTACTCTCTCTCTCTCTCTCTCCCCACCTTTCTGTGTAAAAACTGGGCGCAAAGAAATTATCCGAGCTATGCTGTTTGGGTGTAGGTCATAAGAACCCCATTCCAGAGAGGGTTCTGCCCATACCCAGAAGGAAGGAATGCATGCTCAGAGGGGCCAGGAAGAATCCAGACAGGTAGGTCTTGCTGAGTTTCTCCCCACTCAGCCTATTAGCATTAGATCATGGCCTTTTTGTTCAATCATATTTCTACACTGTCTGTACTTTATTGAACCAAAACATAAAAAAATTTCCCCTGTATCTTTGGGTCTTCATTCTGAAGGCCGCTGTATCATGTAAAACTTTGATCAAATAAATTTGTGTGCCTTTTCTATTAATCGGCCTCTTGTCAGTGTTTTTTGGTGGACCTTTGGAAGGTGAAGGGAAAATTTTCCCTTGGCCCTGACGGTAATAAAGGACCTTGTTGAAATGTGAAATTCACAAATGCACCTGATAAGAGTCAGGGAGCCTTCTAGGGATGGGGGCTGGCACAACCTAAGACGTTGGTGTTTGTGATTGAATTGGATAATTGAATAAAGACATCATATAAGCAGCCACCACTCTGCTAACTCTGGTCTCATCTTCTCTCCCGTGGTCCATGCAAAGGTTAGAGTAGGTAGAAAAATAATAAGGACAGCAAGTGCCAGTAGCAGTTAATACCACACATGTCCAGAGAGGGGCTGTAAGGAATGGGTGTTTTGCAAAGTCCATGTTATATGTAAATTTTTGGTGCTGCTAAAGAAGTAGAACTCAAATGTAAATTTCCTCAGCAAGGCAGTTTACTTCTATAGAAGGGTACATCTCCCAGATGGAGCAATGGTAAGCATACACCTGAACAAGGAAGGGGAATGGGTTTTTATCCCTGATGCAGGTAGTCCCGACTGCTGTGTAATTCCCCTATTGGGTAGGGTTGGACCACACAGTGTAAGCTAATTCTGATTGGCTATTTTAAAGGGAGCAGGAGTATGAGCCAGAGTGAGCAGTTTGGCAGGAAAGATAGTTACAGACCAGGTAACTAAAGGTGACTCAGGTCACAGCAGTTGACCAGGGTGACTCAGGTCAAAGCAAGTGATCAGAGCTGGTGACCTGGGGAACAAATGTGACCTATTGATTAGAACTGGTGGAAAATGTTGTTTACTGAAACTATGAGGAAGTTAAATTTTAGAATGGAGGACAAAGAACTGAACATACTGACATACTGATTCTTTGAAGAGAAATTTATAATTCATTGTATCCAACATCTCCAGTATATTCACCTGTTCAATCCTGGTTGCATAAGGATATCCTTCTGGGAATCCTGACAAGGTCTTGGTAGGGGAACTGTAGGGAGAGCTTTCTTTAGACAGCCTTGCTTCTCAGAAAAGAATGTCACCCCCTTCAGCAGTTTGGGTAGGGCTGGTTAATCTCCAAGTGTATTCTAGCCAATGATTTCCCCTGGGCCAACTCTGCCAGCACCGTCCCTCTCCTGGAAGCAGTTGACAGCTTTTGACTATGCATAATGTGGGCCTAAAATCATGGAAAGATCCCAACACTCACTGGACAATGAGGGCTGGTGGCAGGCTTCTTTGCTTGCAATTTATTGGCTCAAGCAAATGTGCAAAAAATTTAGGTCTGGCTACGGAAGTATGTCTGGGCTGTCCCAGCCAACATTCTGCTTGACAGATGAGACAGTGGGGTTACGGGTTTGGTGATGGTGTGAAAGAAAAATAAAATCTTGGAACCCCAAACTCACTATCCCAAAGGGAAAGTTATGCTTGGGAACTGAGTCCAATTACACAAAAACTACCTTCCTTTTGTTTCCAAACAGATAGCTGTAATTTCACATGCTTACATTATCTTACGAGGAATGCAGATTTACTTGAGCTTGAGATCAATGCGTAATTGACTTTTCATCCACTCCCCTCTCTTCACATGTAAAATGTAAATTCACTGAGCACTAAGTAATGTCTCACAAGAATGTAACCACTTGCCTCACTGCCTACCTTCCCTCTTTTTTTTCCCTCTCCGCCTCTCATTTACCCTTAAATATTGAAGTTCCCCAAACCTCTTTGGGAAAAAACACAAGTCACAGATCCTTAAGCTGTCCACAAACTTAGGGTCTTTAGATTTGAGCCTTTAGGGGCCATGATGAAGCTGAGCATCAAGCACTGATGTTTATACTGGGCTTTACAACTGATACATGATTAAAATTCCTATCTAGGTTTTTCACTAAAAATAAGAGTTACTAATATTTAACATTGAAATCAATATATATAATTAAAAGTACTAGATATGAGAAATAATTTTATATGCAAAATATACAAAAAAAGGATGTAGTTTTAGTAAAAGTATTATAAAAAGACATGAAAATGTAATTTTTGTTCAAGGGAGACTAATTTTCTCTAGACCAGAGGTTTTAAAATATTTTTTTAAATTGAAGGAATAAATAAAACTGGATGG